TTAAATGTGTTACTTCTTTTCTGATTGGTTGTTTCTAATAAACATCATTTGCTTCGATACTAAACATTGGTTTTCGTATTTTATTCCATTTTATTTTTATATTTCGATATATTTTTATCGTTAATTACATGTTTATGAAATAAAATTACAACAAACTTTTCATCAATGTAAATTTACATTGTTAATTATTTCTTATTCATTCCTTTTTATCATTTTTGTTTACTTGAAATTCTTTAATTTAAAAATAGATAAAATCAATCGAATTATTTCCTATTTCATTCCAACTTCTCTCACACTTTTCTTTTAATTTTATCGTTATTCCTCTTTCATTATTTTATCATTTCAAACATCATTGTTCTGAAAATATAATAACATTGAATGAGGGTAGTGGTTGTGATATATAAAAATATTGTCATTTTTATTTAAATTCTTTTCAATTTCATTCTTTTAATTATTTTCTTTCGTTAAAAATAAAAAACAGGAAATAATACAAAAACATTAAACATAACAACAAAAGACAAATAGTAAAAGAAATGGTGATTATTTGTATTATCTGTATGTTCAGAGATACATTAATAATCACATTAAACAATACCAAATTAATAACTATTATATCATCAATAATTTCAACAAAAATAACACATTAAAACACATGGAAAGAAGAACAAAATCATATCAGAAATAAAAAGAATGAAAATAAACAAATTAAACAAAATAATTATAAAATTAATAAAAGATATTTAAATGAAAGAAAATAGAGAATATGTGTAATAAGTACAACTGGTTCATTCATTAATAAGAAGTTAACAATAATAAAATGGATATTATTGATTACAAAAAGAAATCTACTTCTCAAAACAGTAAGGATACAAAAAGAATTAATATGAAATTAATGTTAATTCTAAAATACTCATTAGTGTTTCATTAAATTTATCACTTGACTTTTATCATATTCAATTTTTCTTAGTTTTCCTCTTTATTTTTTGGTCTACTATTATCTTTCATCTTATTATGAATATATAAAATACATTGAATGTCTATGTTGTCATTTGTTTAATATATTTATTCTACTCTTTTTGGTTTTATCTTTCACAACTTTCTTCTTTTTCCAACATTTCAATGTGTTATTGTTACATTATTTATTCATATGATATACCAACATTTCAAATGTATTTTAATTGAAGTATATCATATATAACTTTCATAACTTGTTAAACATTACCTGACACTCTTTCTACATTAAAATTGTTTGTATTACTCATTTTAATATTGTATATTTGTACAACTAACACAATAATTAATATTTATTATCATTTCAATTATATTTAACAAGAAAATGAATAATAACAATATGTATGAATCAATTAACTTCTTTATTATTGAATTTGATTTACTACTTATTTTTTAAAAATTCTTTTTAATGTTAAAATAACTAATCAACTTTCAATCACATCTATAATCAACTATAGTTAAGTTTGTTTGTTTTATTCGTTGTTTATTTCATGTTTTATCATTTATTAAATTTTTCAAATACATTATAGACATACATTTGATGATTGTTATAGTACAAATAGATGAAGATCGTAAATTGTACAAGTGACAGGTTTTACTTATTGTATAAAATATGAAATGAAAATAACACAACTACAAACAATGATATTCAATAATGTTTATAATTGTTACTAACATAAAATTATTTTTTTCAAATAATTTTAAATAAAATAATAATTTTCAGACTTTTGCCCATATTTAATTCACTTTCTATTTGAAATTATCAATTCATTTGATTTTCTTCTTTGTTTATTTCTTCATTCACAACATACATTTAAATTCAAATGAAAAATAAAATCATTTTATTTTTATCATATTTTCTTCGCTTTGTATTTTGTGAATTATGAAAATAATCATATTATTTATAAAAACAATAAAATGACATAAATAAACAACTATTCTTATTTTACTATACATCATTTGAATTTATCATTATTTACTTCATTTTTTCAATGGATGTGTCGAATTATATTTTATTATTATAATTGGATTTTTCACTTATAATTAAGTATTATTGACAAACAAAAATAACGTTGTATTTATTAATAAAATTAAAAAAAAAACAAATTTAAATAAGTATTTCTGAATTAAATTAAATCCTTTTGTTTCTTATTTATTTCATCTTTCTTTATAACATTATTAATTTATTATTCATTAAAAACTTCATTTATTTAAAATAATTTCTATTTTCTGATATCCATTTGATTATTTTTGAATATTTATAACGTTATTCAATTATGTGAATTTAAATGATACTTTGTTTATCATTTTCAGTTTTTCAAAATTATTGTTTATGACTTTTATTTTATCTATCTTTATTTTCTGATATTTCAGGTTATTATAAATATAATATTTGTTCATTTGATACAACGATGTTGAAATAACATTTTCTTTTTTCCATTTCAAATATCATTCTATTATTCATTTCATTTTATTAAAAATGAAATTATTATCTAAATTAATACAATAACAACTTTCTCCATTTCTTTCTATTATTTATTCATTCACTAAAAACAACTCAATTCAAATTTAATCATTTTTATCATCTTTTCATTTGTATCATGTTGTTTTTGTGTTGATGACTTTGGGTTATCATTTATATTAATTATACTCTTCTTCAAAATAAAATTACTATTTGAACTTTTACATTCACTTATTATTCAAATCAATGTTAATTTAAATTGCTTATTATTTTCATTATTCATTTGTTTTTGTTTATCAAACGGTTAAATAATACATTCCAATAAAATGTTATAAACGTTTCATTTAATTGATGATAGAAATAAATTTATTAAATTAAACACTTTCATTCATCTAAATTCATTCTATACCAATGTTAATTTGATAAGTTATACAATAAAGAAGTATGAAGTGTTTGATGATAATAAGAATGGAAATAAACAAAACATATAATGAATTAAATAATATAAATGTATAAATGTGTAGAAAGTCAAATGAGTGTTAAATCAAAATGTATTGAAAGAATGAAATTGGAAAAGAATATATAAACACAATTCAAAATAACAACAAACAAATCACCTGATATTTATATTAAAGAATGTGAGAATTTCAAAATCGAAATTGAAACAAACAATGAACAAAACATTGATATGATAGAATGGAATATCACTAAATGTAAGACAAAGTGTTCAATTAATAAATTCTCAAATATTGAATCTAAAGAAGTGAATAATACAAGAAATGAAAAATGTAATTCATTGAAAGCAGTTTAATCTACAATCAATGAAATTGATGTTAAAATAAAGAGAATTTTATGTAAATTAAATGAGGAATGTATTAAATAACACTGAAAGAAGCATAATAGATATTTAATGTAATAATGAAAGGTTATATTGAAGAAATGTTTGATAAATGTAAGATATTATATATTGATGAATATGAGAATTGCCAATTCATAGTTAAGAAGAATGAAAATAGCAGAACGTAAAAATAAAGAAAGTACAATTAAATTAGATCATCTTGAAGAAATAACAACAAGAGATAATGAATGATGATATCACTTTCTAAATATTATAAATTAAATATTATTATATTTCAAATGAAATAATACTCATTACTATATATTCAAGTTTAATTGTTGTTGATAGATATTTATTGTTGTTTCTTTCATTCTTATTCTGTTGATTTATGTTAATTTTCAACTCTATTAAAATCATCATTATATTTTCAATGATTGATAATTAAAAGTTCATTCCATAAATTATAAGTCATTTGTGTTATGAATTTAATTATACCATATTACTGTTATTGTTCTGACTCATCAATAAACAAATATTAAAATATAATAAAAATATGAATGTTAGAGTGATAAAATAAACAAGAATATGAAAAAAGAGAAAGAGTTTATTAATAAAACAATATTGTCGTTAAATAAAAGATAATAATAAGATATAATAAGATATTTTAATTGTAATGATATGATAGTATAAATAATCAAATGATTAATACATGATAAATTGTCATTCTAATATATTTGAAACAAAAATAATCTTCTAATTTATACGATGTTTATTTTCTTAAATAATGAACAAATCATATTCATATTTATATGGTGATTTTCTACTATGAATGAATTTTATAGTAAATTAATAATTGAGAAATAAAATATGATATATATATAATAATATTAATAGTTAAATATAATAATTTCACTGTGTGTTAATTCAGTGTAATATTTTAATTTGATTATTTTCATCATAATTTCATTATCTTTATTCAATCAATATCCAGTTAACAAAATAACACAAATATATATCTATGAAATGCATGAAATAATTTTGTATTTATCCATTGAATTACTCTAAACTTGAATAATATTAAATTTCATAATTGTTTTAATTCATAAATGAAACAATAAATATAACATTTAATATTTTCATAAAATAACAATACTTTTCATTAATGGTTCAAGTAAACACAATTAATAAGAATAATAACATAATGTTTCAATGATATTTACTATTAAATAATGTTAATAAATAAAATATTCATTGATTTATCATTTCATTTATTATAGATTCATGATTTTGGGTACGAAAATTAGCAAAGAAAAA